TACGGCTCTGTGGGACGCACACGGTCGCTTGTTGAGCGCAATTATCGCGAAAAACCGTCCGAATCCGCCGTTTAAGGGACGTGCTCGAACTTTTCATGCGCCAATACTTACGTGCCTCATAGATACGTACATTCCTGGCCGCCAAGTGGATCCGTGTCGTTCGTCCTCGATGATGATGACACGCCGATAACACAATCACTACCGGAGCACCAATGCCGTGTGTCCCACATTACTCGGCATGCCGATAGTCCGAAATCACTGCGTAAATAACGAAAACAGGCGTAAAGCAAAAGAAAAATGAAAGAACCCAAGAGAAACAATTGTCACACGTACACAGGCATACAGGCGTACGCGTAGAGTCGATCATGGCAAAGTGTCTGTTATTTACGTTGGCCGAACCTCGCGCGTGTGAAACTAAACACGCAACACGCTTGTTTGCACTTATATCGTGCAAAATGGCTTTGAATTTGCTCGGCGCATTAACGTGTTCTCAGGAAGATCTGAAAGGAGGTGAATATCTTTGAAAACGTTTCCCTCTTTCTTCTTGTTTTCTTTTCTTTTAACGGACGAAATTACAGACGAAATTACGAAACGACTTTAGTTTGATCAGCACTGATCGAAAAGGGCTTCCGACGCTTTTGAAGAGAACCCATCTCGCATGTAAACGCAAGAAACCACGCGCAACAGAAAGAAATAGAAGTCTCGGGTCGAGGAGAGACACTAGAAATCGCTTAACGACTCGATTTAAAATAAGTCGTAGAACGCAAGACTGTTGAGCCTACCTTTTCGCAACGTCACGTAATGCGCGCAGATGCATAGAGCAAATTGAAACGCGAAACAATCGTTCGAGTTAACGGTCGTGATGTTTAAAACGCAGGATGTACACCTGGACATCTGTGACAGACATAAGTTTATATATATGTATATATACATAAACGTATGCATATAGAGAAGGAGCTGGATCGATGCGTAGTGTAACACGACCGATTACAAAACACGCGACCACACGCTAATTCTCTTTTTCTACGTCGTCGTTTAGCCGTAACTTTTTCAAGGCTTCGTCGGTAGGAGATTTCACAGGGGACACGCGTTTGCTCGATACACCACGAAATTTCGTCTTTTTCCCTCCAACATTCCACGAATTATTTAGGACAAAGAATGAGCGTGGTGCGTGAGTACGTGCGTGCGTGCGTGCGTGAGCGATGCGTACATACATATATGTATACGTGCGAACGAGTACCGTGCGTGCGTACATTCGTGCGCGCGCGCGTACTCCTTCGACGGACGCGCGATGATTCGTGGCCGTTTCTAATGCGTAGTTAGCATCGCGGACCCCGGCGAAATCAAATAAAACGGAAAAAGGAAGAAGAAAGACAAAGAACCACTCCCCGAAGGTTAAAGGCACCGAGACGCCACCACCGCAACACAGCCTCTGTTCCCGACGGTCCACGCGCCGCTTGTTTACTTTGTCCCACCTTCGAACAGGTTGTTGATACGCGATGAAATCACGTTTACGCAGCAAAACAGTTCATAATTCACGTCATTGAACTTGGTCTCACGAAATCGTGCTCGGGGCCGAGGAAAGTTTCGGTTTACCTTTTGTCAACCGTGATTTTCGAAGGTCGTGCCGACTGTGTCGTGCGATCGTACGGAAAGGAAACAAGTATACGTACGCATGTACGTAGTTAGGGCGGAAGTAGCAACACGGAGGTTAACGAGAATGACTAACTAAACGTCACTAAACAAACAAGCATTTACATCAGACACCGTCCAAGGCGACCATGTTATCGTCACTGACGCGCCTCGGGTTGCATTTTTAAACCTGACACCGTAAACTCGTCGCAGTGTTCACGCGCGACGCGTTCAACACACACGGGTACACACGCCACACGCGACAAAACAAAACACGGCCCCGATACGTTCGATCGCGCTAAGAACCGCGTAATTCACTTGCGACGCTAAGAAAACTCCGTCGCGACGGTAGGGGAAGCAGCTGGGTGGAGTGGTGGGGGGGCCAGGGAGAAAGGGTGGTCACGAGTGCGAAATTCTGCTGCACTCGTGTGTTGTATTCGAAAATCCTACTCTGATCCGGGGCTCTGAATTTCCCCGAACGGCAGGATAATGCGAGAGAACAGAGCGGCACGCACGCACGCATGCACGCACGATCGCTCTCGCCGTTGGCGGAGCCAGGCGGAGAAAAACAGAGAGAACACGGAGTGACACGTGCCAGAGACAAAAGACGCAAAGGGAGATACATAGACGCAGTTTCACGGACGTGGAGGGACGAAAGGAGAAACCGGTCGGAAGGAAACTATAATTGCGACGCACGACGTGAGACCGTTTTCTTTCCCGTCGCCATTATCGAGTGATAAGAAAAAGAAGGGTTGCTCCGGCAGGGGCGGGAGGGGGGTGCGACAAGGAAGGAAGAACGAGGAGCATGGTTGCTGTATACTGTATTGCAGAGAGGAGAGAGGGAGGAGAGAGAGAGAGAGAGTGAGTGATGGGAGAGGGAGAGAGGGGAGAGAAAGATAGAAAGAGGCGGCTGCTGCCGCTCGCGTCCCGTATTGCGTAGTAAGCGCTTGAATGGATTACGTCACACGCCAGAGGCAAGCGCAAGAGGGTAAAAGCGTCGCGTCAGACACACAACACACACGACGATATATGCTGTATAGAGCACATTTGTTTGTTGCATCGGTTGTTGCGCGTTTGTCCAGTATGCGACGTTTTGCATGGAGGACTTCGGCCCCGACCTCGGCCGTTTGTTTCCCGGTCATCGGCAGGGCCCAGGGCCCGCGAGAGAGAAACAAGCTACGCACCTACTGCCACCATATGAACGCTCTACACGCTCGTATGCGCAGCATCGTTTACCGTCCGCGCATATTCGTGTGACAGGATGCCGTTTTCCAGCGTTTCTCGTGCACCTTCGCCAAGTGCCGAGGAACGATCGATCGTCAAGATACGATACGAGGGATTCACCCATTTAAGCGCGGAGAGTCCTCCCATTTAGCGGCCGATGGAACGTTCGTCGACCACGAGGGAACTCCCGCTCGCTCCCCACGTGTTTTCGCTCTGATCGAACAACAGTCAACTCTCTGCCCTTCTTCGCGTCTTTATTTCTATCTTTTCCCCGCCTGTTTCTCTCTCTTTCTCTCTCCCTCTCTCCCCCTTCCCCTTTTTTGCCGCCCGCTCTCTTTCTCTTTCTCCTCTCTCTCTCTCTCTTTCTCTGCCTCTCTTTCCGTCTTCGCTATGCGACATCGTCTCAAGTGTCCTCTTTTGTTTCTCGTCTGGTCTCTCGTAGACTCTCTCCGCTTCCCTTTGCCGAGCATCGACGACGAGCTTAATATCGTTGGCATGTCTCGGCCAGACGAATTGCCGAGTCACGTCGAAAACTCTGGGCATCGCGTTCCACGTGGTTAAGCGTGCCCCCTTCAAAACACCATGATTCTCACCACCGTGCTCGCGCATACACACACGTTACATTCCCTATCCAGTGTAACATCGCGCATTTACCTCTCGGTTGTGCTTGCCTGCTATCCGTAATCCGCACTTTGGCCCGCCACTCTCGTATCGTTTCCGCACAACACCGACCGATTCGCGAATGATGGCGAGAAAACACTCGTCTAGAGGCGGCCCTCAGAAACGTAATAACAAAACGCACACCGACATTCTGACGAACGAGTCAGCTGGTACTGATCCGATCGTGATCGAGCGCCGACTTCACCACGGGTCATGGACGTAGAAGCGTCGTGGAAATACGAGTACCCTCCTCGTGTCGAGGCGAGAATCCGACTCGTGCGCCGCCGTTCGTAAGGACCCCTTAACTAACGTCAGTACCGTACTTCGCCATATGTAAGCCCCTTCTTCGTCTCACCGTCGTCTCGCTTCCGTTGATATCGACGAACATTTCCCGATCCGAGACCCGAGACCCGAGACCCGAGACGCTCACTCAATCCATGTAATATCACGTCGTTGTAATTTACCACCAGTGACGCGCCAGTGACGACACCAATTCCACGACTTTACATTTCCCAACAGTGGAATCTTGAACTTAAACGTGCGTCGCATCATTAGATGCATCGCAGCAGACACGTCCAAACGTATACACGTACAAACCCACCGAATCGAGCAGTTTTGCCACTATGTGTGTGAGACCACTGTGCGTACTACACTCGAGTAGTTGCGCAGTTCAATCGCTACTAACTACGAGCTCAAAGCGGTGAAAAGGCGCAACGTTCCAACGATTTTCAAAACCATCATTCTCAATAGGGAAAGACGTAAATCGTCTCGTACGGAAGCATGGTCGAAACGCCTACATCGCTGGAGGCCGATGCTGATAGGTTAAGACTTGATGGATTGCCTCGAAGTAACGTAGACGAGATAGGCATCCCGCCATGTAGAGGGGAAAATGGGAATATTGGTTTCGTCGGTGTGTACGTGGGCTGTGCAGACGCTACTAAAAACTTGTCCTCAAGATCGTTCTTGCTGTTGGATCTTTGTGTCGGCCAAAGAGGACTGTTTCTGTTTTATCTATCTCGAAGCAGCTTGTCTAAAACATCTCATTAGATGTGACTTATGAGAGTTCACGATATATATCTCACGTACATACATCCAAGGTGGATACGTAAAGAATGTGTAAACGATGTTATGAACAACAAAAACTTGTTTCGACCGTTTGTGAACAAGCGAACTTGCCGAAATTTGTAAATTTGTAAATTGAATGTTAATAACTTTATAGAATCGAATAATCGTAGTTGTGTCGTAGATCGTGGTGAAATATCGTTTGTCCAGTTTTGAAAAAAATGTTCAAAACGATATTTTCGCGCTTTTGATTTGAACCACGGACTTGCAAGTTTTTTTACAAACGCGCAAGTGCAGCATACGTGAATATTTTCCGATCTTCTGCATCAACAGTAGTTAATATAGAAACCTGTATTATTATTGTCTGTATTTCTACCCTATTTGTTTATTCTCTTTCGATGAAAAATTATTATTTTCTTCCGTTTAAAAGAGCGTTGTTTCGTTGTATTATGTATCCAAAGGCAGTAGGAATGATACAAACATTTTAAATTTCAACAAACTTATTCTTAATCTAGTTGTATAGTTTTTACATAGTCGATGTCAAAAGTCGATAAAATACAAATGCCATTGGACGGTATTGAACGTATTAAATAAATACATAACTCCATAGGAAACTATGAGATTGATGCTATTCACAGTCTAATCGATTTTCTTTTTAACAACTTGTTTGAATATAGTTCTCCAGCACAGTTTCTTCAATCCGCACACCAACAGGATTAACGCTATCACATAAAATATTGCCACATCGATAGAATAATAGTGAACAACGTTCATATACCTGAAACAAATTAATTTCATCGAGTGATTGTTACACTTGATTCTTAAAAGTTATTATTTAAAAAAGATGTCAGACTGTCATACATCAAATTCTACGCCACTTTTAATAATAAAAAAAAAAAAAAAAATGTCGCCTTTAGAAATAATAGAAATAAGATCTCTTTAAGTCATATGTGCCGTGTATTTCCATTTATTTTAGAACGTAAAACCAAATTAGATGTTTTTTACTTTATGCACAAAAAGTAGATAGCTACATACAACAATCACAAATAGTCTGTTGGTTTCTTAGACAGAGTCTAAGACAGTCTTTAAGAAGCAAAGAAGTTTCTTACGCAAAGAAATTCCTACGAGAATTCCAATGTACATACCTTGCGGAACTTTTCAAATGTTCGGCTCCTTTATATTTGGCGACATGTTCCACCCACCAAGTAGCCAATTTTCTAGGGTTAATTGGTAAATCTCGTAGCAAAGAGCTTCTCTTTTTCGCTGCTGTTCGATACGAATTGTTGTGCACCGCAGCCACTTTAAGAATTCCATCACGAAAACTTCCAATGGATATTCTAGACAAATCCATCACCAAAGCGTAACCCAATTTCTCTGTAACAATGAAAGTGAAAGTTTCTTTGTTTTTAATTCCTTTTCTTTCAATTTTGTGTAAATTTTGTGTCATATTATGCCTTCCAATTGTATGAAGAGATTATACATAATGGTTATTAATTATCTTATCGTTTACTTGACTTCTAATTCCTCGAGGCTGATACATTGATCGACTCTATCTAAATCATTGCATTTTAATTATTCAATCATCTAGTTTCTGCGTTTCCTGGAATTCTGCACGCATCTGCAATCCTCTTAATCGATTTGTATTATCAAATTCCGTTTTTTTTTTTTTTAAATATTGAGGCCAGTTTCCAAGGAAATTCCAAAGATTCGATCGACGTTTTCTCACCATTGCATCTTCATTTTAATTTTAGAAGAGTCGAGGTATTTATAATACTACGATAAATCCTCTTATCTCTTAGCGAGCGTGCTCGTGACATATACGGGCATTATTGATACGATCAGCTTTTCAGCTGTTTGTACATGTTAGCGGCAATGTTCACAATAAATTGATACATACTCGTGTACAAAATAATTTGTGTTATACTCCATTCTTCACTTTCTTTACCTACCTCCCTTCCGACAACGTAAAACACGTTGCAATATTTAAAATGCCAGTGAATGGATAGTCAATAAAATGTAAGTGAACGGATAGTCGATAAAAATTCGTACGGTTAATGAATCGATCGCTGAATGAATTGGCAAGATAATGGCAGAAAGCTTACCAGCTTGAGCCGCGTTTCCATCGTGATCGCAGAAAACGGGTAGAACGAGGGTTGGCGCGGCGTGATAAGCTGCCTCGTGCAAGGACAAAAGTCCTCCGTGCGAGACGAACGCTCGAAGCTTCGGATGACCCAGCAGCTCTTGTTGCGGCCACCATGCCGCCGTTCTGACGTTCGATGGCAGATCTTTGATCTTCATGCCTTCCCACTTCCACACGACGTTGCACGGGAGCGTGGCAAACACCGCCACGAAGATTTGACGAAGCGCCTCTGGCATGTCTGACGCGCGAACCGACGAGCCCATAGACACGAATATGAAACCTACCGGTCATGTATCACGGTTATCGCGATGTTCTACTTTGGGAAATTTGACTTGGCCTGAAAATGATCTATTGTCTGACAGACTGATTATCGACAGGCGCGGGAAAGGTAGCAGATCGTTGTAATGAAAGGAGATCACAACGTCATGCATGTAAGCTGTTGAATTTCAAACATTTAAACAGAAGCAAGGATTTGATCATTGGAAAACATAAATATATATGGGGTGGGGGGGGGGGGAAGATAGAAAATCTACCAAGCACGTTAAAGTACATCAAAGTGTATAAAATGCGGTCTTATCAGAATGAGCTTCATTCATCTTAATACACACGTTAATTGTACAATTGTAAGATTTTTTTTTCGATTTATTTGTACTTTTAAACAAACGTAAGAAACATCAGTCCAAGTTTTAATTGACAAGTTTACAAAATGTCCAAGATTATTCTTCTTCTGTTTGAAATGTTTGAAAACTCTGACACGTGTACGTCGACCAAAGCAGAGAACTTGTACCACAAGAGAGATTAACCCTGCACAATGTAAATTACGTCAGTCAACTTCCGTCAATATCATCTATCAGTTATTAGATTTTAAACTGAAATATTAACCACGGCTACGAAATTGTTTACCACATCGATGGATGACTATTTAACAGATCCTTCCGTTACTATAATACTTCAATCTAGTGAGAACTCCGCTTGGTACAAGCTCTCATCTTTCTCACGCTACGGATTCGTTAAATATCCTTCGACGGACGTTCATTGTCTCCGCTTTCTCTGAGCGATTCAGAAATCTCTCTTCCTCTCCCCGCCTCAAGAAACGAACGTAATTTCCAGTTAACGACGTCGGCCAACTTAGAATATCGACTTACCGCGTTGCAAGAAACTCTCCAAATCGGGGCCGAGGTTCGTCGCCGGCTTGCAATGGAGGCACGCGACGTTCACCACGTTGGCCAAGTAAGGAACCGAGTCAGCCACGCTGTAATGACTGTTCTGCAGCGTCAGTGGAATCTCCGTAGTCAGATCTCGTACGTCTGGCAGCTGGTCTCCTGGAACGATAAACAAGATTCCTCCGAATAAAGGAAATCATCGTCAATGAAACCGATCTCGAGGCAGTGAGGGATGCGCATACCTAGATACTTTCTTAGAACCGGTTGAAGGTATCCGTTGATCATGATCCAGTGCATTAGCCTCAAGGTGGCGAGACAGGCTGCGTTTAGAAGTCTCTGGAGGAAGTTCATGTCCTGGGTCAATGATTTGCCGAAATACGGTGTGACGGACCATGGCGACGGGTTCCCTTGACGACTTATGGATCCACTGTACAGCGCTACCTGTGTATTCAGTATAGTTTGACCGTTATCGTGTTTGGTTTTGTGTTGTGTATAGAGTGGTATAATTATTATGGGCTCGATAACAATTAATCTTGACATATTCCGGCCTGAGCACTTGATATTTTTGTCGTCGTTCAAAGTAGTATGAAATGTAATTTTGTTGTTCAAGTTTAGCTTGTCGATATTTTTACTGTCGTATGAAACCTCCCGTACTTGTAATTTTGTTCAGACTTTTGACAATATTCAAATCGTTCTGATTATTCTTTACTCGTGTACAATATCTATTTCTGCGAATGATCGTTGCATTTCTGTCTTAACGAATTCCTAGGAAATGAGTTTTTTTTTCTTTTGATACAAAGGGTTAATTTTATAAATTATTGAAAAGTGATTGAAACCTCTTTAGTTCTGTTTCAACATTTTATTTTCAAATTTCAAATCACTCGTATCTAATTATTCAATTATCAATGTTACTCGAATCTGTCAAGAGATAAACAAAGAAATTTCTTCTGAATGGAAACCCAATGGAAACACAAGATCTTGCGATTCAAAGTTTCGTGCAAGAAATCGAGTAATTTGCGTCAAATTAAATCGGATTGTTTGCGTTATTAGAGAAAAAGAGTTGTTTTTATTTGTACACAGTTACCGTATTTAGCATGATGGTAGGCACATTCTCGCCATGGAGAACACCTAGAAGGCATTCGGGAAAGGCTCCGTCGACTACCGCGACGTCCCATCGTGCATGATGATTGCCTTCAGGTCTTCTCAGCCAAGATACTGATATTTCGTCGCGAAGAAGCGCCTCACATGCCTCCCAGGCGTATCGCATTGCATCCCACGGGGAGATAGGCATTTCATCTCGGAACCTCGCACCAACCAGGTCCCATTCTGACGTGTAATTCCCGACATAAGCCTGTCAATAACGAAACACACTTTAAACACCAGCCCTCTTATGAAATAATCCTATTATCGCTTCTTTTTTTGTAATGAGTTCCTCCCACTGTACACGCTCGATGGTTACACGCACGTTACTCTGAATAACCATCATGAAACGTAATCTTGTTTGAAACGCGGGATAAAAACGAAGGAAGACGCGGAAGTTAAACCATATGGAGATCGTGTGTGATGCTCGTATAAAATTACTGGCGTTGGTAACACACTGGAGGGTAAAAAACTCGAACCCATTATGTTGCTTTAAACATTTCATTTGCAATCCTCTTTGAATCAATTTGCGTTACCGAATTCTACTTTTTATCATCGAAGGAAAGACGAAAGGAAATTTCAATATTTTTACAAATTTCTCGAATGACTTTATAGTTTAATGTAATTCAAGTACTTTTAATATTACGATGAATTATTGTCTGGTCTTTAATGAGTTATTTTCTTTCTTATATGGCCTTATAATATATAATAATATAAATATATAAATAATATAAATATAAATAAAATATAAATATATAAATAATATAAATATTTAATTTTGGTGTTTTAACACAATTTTTACTAACTGTGCATTTTGTCAACAGAGTGTCCCAAAGAAAGAAGATTTATTTGAAGAGGTGCAAACGTGCAAGAGAGGTGAAGGTTCACGTGAGTAATTACCTTTTTTTTTTTATTTCAATTGTGAAATTCTCTGTCAACAAAATTATTTTATCATTTAAGCTACGTATATATTGAATTGCAATCATATTACAATCAACGTGACTGAGATAACATATTTTGTGCAATAGAAAGATAGTTATTAATAATCGTATTAACTTCTACATATTCAGATACATTAATAGCTATAATTTCATGTATTTTTTCTTAAATAATTAATCCAAACAAACATTGAAAAAATCACAAATTGACAAAAGTTTGGAACACCCTTTACCTTTCTTTTTGACAAAACGAACATCTCCCTACATTTTTCGAAGAAACGAGAGTATTAAGTGTAACTCTCATCTCTAAATACAATTAATAAAAATGTCAGCGTAGTGTAGGAAAGTAATTTTACGAATAAAATATAGAATATAAATTGAAATTTTGACATGCTCTAAATTCCCTCGAACAATGTATAAATTCTCCTTCCCTCTCTTAAATATTTCACACGTTTCATTGCCAATTATTACAGTATTCTGTTTTCATTAAATTCGAAGTGGTTATACCGCTTTACTCATCGTCAATGGAAACGGAGTTTCCATTTAAAATCTCTCTATAACCACGACCACCATGACCACCTAATTCCCCGAGCCTCTCGACTTCTGTTTCTCCGATCTATAATTTACCGGCAGGCTGTTTGCTCGCGCTATAAATGCGAATCAATTTGCATCCCGCCCCTTTTGTACGCCCTCGCGCTACACCCGGCACGCGCTCCATTCTCATAATCAAATAAACGCCCGTGCTAACTTATAGCTTACGTTGGGTGGAACTTGTGTTGAGTGTCTAAAGAAGAGTTAGAGCGTATTCAGAAATATATTTTCTGTCTAAGGGCTTTTCTTCTCGATTGAATTTGTCTTTCGTAATTAAATCGAAGGAAGGCACCCGGGGGGTTCAAAGATCCTCGATCATATGAATCATGCTATATTTAAAGCTATGGCTACCTGTCTATTACTCGACTTACAATTAGTTTGCTCGGGGAACAATTTGAACTGTTTGCAAAGCTGGAAGGAGGTTAATTGTGTGGAGTTATTCGTTAATTACTTACCACACGGCCGGAGAAAGGAAAATTTAAGAGATAAATGTACAAAAGGACATGACAAATTCATAGAATTATATTTGACAGAGGTAGTCAAACACTGTGTCTTGAAATAGTAAAAAGAGTGATACCTGAGAGTTTTATGTATATTAAACATCCTATTTTTAATATTTTAGTATAAAATTGGACGTTCAATTTTTAAAAAGGTTCAGAAAGAATAGAGAGATAAATTAGAAAGCAAAGGAGGAAACAACTGAAGCTTACATCTGTCAAATTTCAAGTAATTAAAGTAGAAACAAGCATTACAATTAATATTTTATTTATTAATTAAAGTTGTGGCAATTTTGGAAAAATAACGATGTTTCTTACGTTTGTTCACCAGAAATAAATCAGAACAAAGTATTACCTTGTGTACGATATTATTCACGGGTTCTTCTAAACAAATATAAGAAACATAGTCAATATTTTGGTCAATATTTCATCGGCTGTTTTAACAGATTAACAGATTAACAGCCATGAAACATGGATGTTTCGTCCCCTTTCTTTCTTCTCGGTTCGAATATTTTTTTTCAAGCCTTTGTTGACCGACCTGTACACGGTAAATTATCATTTTCTTTCATGACAAAACGAAGTCACAATTTCAGCCTGTGATTTACTTCGAACGAAGGAACTTCTACCGCGTCATGCTCCCTTGGACGTTCGTTCCCTCGAACCTAACCCTCTAAAGGAAATCTTGAAAAAAGGGTAATTACCTCGAAGATGGGCGGAACGAACTCCTGTAACCCGTTGTTGGCAGCTGGACCTGGAAACGCGCTTAAAAGAGTCACGTTGTGTCCTCGTGCCTTCAAACTGCTACCCAGCGCCACAAATGGTACTGTGTGCGACTTTGTACCACCCATAGTGGCCAACAGAATATTATATCCTGTCGTAGAATTACAGAGTAGCAAGATAACAAAAGGAATTACCACTCCATCTATTGAATTAGCCATCTTTAATTTTACAAGCATCGCCGGCGTTGTTGGATTCTCTTTCTTCTTCGATGTCTCGGCTCTCTTGACCCCTCGGAACAATTTAATTTGTTAATACTGTCTGCTGTTTTATGGATCTTATATCGAATTATAGTATGCGTGCCTGTTTGAAGAAGCTTTCGATATCGGAAACGATATCATCGTCGAGGTAGCACCATCAAGCTGTTCAAGTTTCTTCCGCAAACTCTTCTCTCACGATATTTCGATGGCCTTCACTTCATATTTTCTGTTCAACGTAGTTTCTTCGATTCTTCCAACTTTTCGTCTTTTGATTCTTTTCTACGAATTTCTCTCACTTTGCAGCCTTAATATTTCGACATTATTTTCTCGCATTATCCGTAGCACTTGCTTGATTCTGATATCTTTTAATGCTATCTGTCTCACGCTGTTTCCACTATGTTTCCCTATTTTCTCAGTTTAATTCTTTAGATTCTTTAGAATTTTCCCCAAGTTCTATCTTCTCACTCGCGATCCTAATATTTTATATTTTGTGTCTCCGATATATTGTGTCTTCTCTATTTACTCAAGTTTCTCTTGAATTTTGAAAATGTTAATATTTTTACCAAGTCTTTCCTCAACCAGAATCTTTCCTCTACAGTCGAGAGATTGAAAATTGATAATAACAAAAGGTCACCGAATAAAAATATTATTATGCCAAAGAAAAAGCTCAGTTAATTATATTTCTCTATTTCTTTAAATTCTCTTAAATTTTTTTAAATTCTATTTCTGTCTAATCACAAATCGAATTCTCCAAAGTTCTTCTATAAAATTATTTTACACTGCGATTAATATTTTGATACATTAATATTAACATTTTCCAAATTTAATATTCTTAATATTTCAATTACTGTGTTTCTCTCATAAAATTTTCTGTTTTATAAAAACTTCCCACTTGCAATTATTTTAATATCTCACTCATCAACACCCTCAAAAATTAAAACTTCACTGTCTTCTTAATACTTCACTGTTGTACTCCTAATATTTTAATATTTGCCTTACGCCACTATAGCTCTTGCGCTATGCTTCTGTTCTTTTTTTTTTTTTTTTTTTTTTGCTTCTTCTCAATTGAATTTCTTAAATTCCTCCCATCCGGCGACACTGCCTCCGATATCTCTATCTTCTCTTCTCGATTGAATTTCGCAAATTCCTCAAAGTCCTGCCTCGGTTTAAGTAGCACCGGCGATTTACGCACCTCGAACGAGACGCGAACGTTCGTTTTCTTTCGTACGGTGGAACCGCGGCTAAATAAGTACACGCGGCTCGTCAAAGCGCGAGGATTAAGGCAGTCCGATCCATTATCATTGTAATGCCAGGTTGATGAGAAAGAAGAAACGACCATCGACCGTTAAAACGGGCGATTGTCTCGAGAATGGGAGACCATTAGAGGAGGCGGCTTTCCTTCGGTCAAATGCGTCCGTGGAATCTCGGCGACCGGCTATCCCCTCGTCATTTTTACGCGAGATCGTCAAGCATGACCGATTACATTCGTTTCCGTGGTTCTTTATCTCGATTTTGGACTCTGAAACCACACAAAACACGGGAGATTTATTTGTTCGTGTAGCACGAATTACGTAGCACGTCTCTTACGCGTTTACCATTACAAAAGTGTAAAGTAAAGTGTAAAATCTGGTTATTTCCTTTGTAACAAACTTTGTTTTTCGTCCTTTCGTTGAAAATGTTTCGTTAAAATGTTGTTTCGTAACAGCTTCGTACGGTGGAATCTTTTTATTTGAAATGTAAAAAGGACACATGAAGGTTGGAATGTTTTAAGTCACTTGCGCTGGCAACTGATTGCGGACCATAACGAGCGACCAAACCGTATACGATAATTCGTTGCTTCCTTTTTAAACTCGCCGGTATGATATCACTAGATAGAAATTACTGAGAAGTAGCAAATTTATTATTTGTTTTGCCTATTTTGCTTTAAAGATACTTAAAACTGAGAAAGTATTACAATTTTGGAACAAAAAATTCTCGACGTACGTGCTTGTTCGAGAGTTTGGGCTATTCTTCAGTTTTTGGACAAAATACATTTTAGTTTCGTAACTTTGATCCTTAAATATATTGACAATTGATTAAAATTTCACTAATCTAAATAGATAATATATGCAATATTTATTTGTATTTGTTCGTATTTAGCAGAAGTCGTTATTTAATGCCTCAAGTTTTTGAACAAGGGACTAAAAATCTTTTCATATGTTCCCAAGTTTCTACGCTTTTCGGGGTATAGAAATTTCAATAATTCTCGAATAATTTGTTTGTCATGTCAAGTTTAAATTTAAATTTCCGACCTTTTCTTTCTCTCTGTGTTAGTTAACTAAACTACAGTTCATCACGCTATAGTACGATTAGTTCGAATAGGACCTAGTTTCGATAATTAGTATTCTACTTCGATCCTCTTTGAAATTCCGAATGGTCTAACTATGTTTTCTCTTCCTAACAATCACCAGCGGTATATTCAACGAAATGACATTGCGACATTGTCACAAAACAACACTGAGTTTTTATTACAAATTATCCTCTAAATACAAAATACTATTAGGCAAACTTTAAGTATTTGAAACAGGTTTCGAGGAAATGAACGTAGGAAACATCGTAATTTTTTTCAAAATCTGCACACTTAAAATTGACAGTCAAAATTAAAATTATTGTTTCTCTCTATAAATATGAAAAGTTCTACCGTTTCTTTCACAATAGCAAAGAATACAATTTTTCACATAATTCTCTCGATTATCTTGCAAAACAGAACAGTGACAGTTATACAGATCATAATGAATATTCCGTTGTTAAAGAAAAAAAAAAAAATAAGAAAAACAGAGAGAAATTGCGCGTATTTGAAATTCGACGAAACCACAGTTTCTGCAATCGGCCGTTGTGTACGTTCGTAAAAATTCATAATACTCTCGCAAATGACTGGCCTTTTTTAGAGCCCCGTTCCATCGCGATCTAAATTCATCTCTGGTTCCTTCGGCGGAACTTCGTTTCCCGTGATTGCACGATTGAACTTTCGATCCACCCGAGATTCTCCTCGTCTATATCGCGATCGTTGAAAAGGTTGTCCATCCGTTCGAGGCTTGCAGAAAGGATTTAACGTGCCGTTCCATCCGGGGAATGGGTGAAATCGAGCGATTCGGTTTTCGTGAACCGTCAAAGAAGAACCGTCGTGAAGGATAAGAAAGAGCCGGGGAAAGGAGAGGGAGAGGATAAGAAGGAGAGGAGAGCCAGGATCAGGAAATGCCGTCTCTCGAGAGATCGTATTGTCGGTCTCTCGAACGAACGGCGCACTTGAAACTCGCGTTATTAGTGAAAGTCTCGGGCGTCGCTCGAATATCGTTGAAGGTTAAATTCACGTGTTCTCACGATGGAACGTGAAAGGCCCAAAGGTCGCTGCCGAGGGTTGGGCCCCGGCAGCGATCTTTCCTCAAACTTTGCTCGATATCGTGCAACAAATTATCACAAGTTGTTCGTGAGAAACGTTTGAAAATTATTCAGGAGGATTTAAAAGCGCGTTCTTCGTCTCGAGGCTAACGCCATCGCTTTAATCGACGAACAGTGTTTGTTTATAATGATTTATGATATAAAAAAAAAATCTCTTGGTAAGCTAAAAGGCAAAATATAAATAAAGATGGAATTTTTACAGAGCGACGTTATAGCGACTCTGTAAAAAAGTATTTGCACACACACACGCTATTTTTCAACCAAATGTTTCTGTTTTTTTTTTTCTATTTTTATAATATCATATTTTCGCAACGCCGTATTTTGGAAACGCTGTTGAATAGTACGGAAAATTAAGCAACAGTGTGCAAATACTCTTTGTCGTCTCTTTGTCGTGTTACTTAACGAGAGCAACGGACTGACATGATAGATAAAATATAACGCGGAATTAATGTGAAGCAGAGTTACGTATTACAATTTTCACTCGATTTAGAGGAGAAAGTGGTGAACTGCAACAAAAGTAGTTAGCGAGAGGAAGAGTTGGCGTGTTTACAGATTCAGTGAATAAAGCTGTTTGAACGAAGTAAAGTTCAGTTACATGCAGAGATTTGTGAAATGAAGAATATTCTCTGAATATTATATTTTCCTCTGGTATTTAGCTCGAGTTCAATTAATTGTTTAGAGCCATCGAATCGAATTGTTCATAATTTTGAGGATACGTATTGGATCGAATGTAAAAGTCTGCGTTGTTCTAATGTACATACGTGTTTCCCACGGGATGAATTTATAATTCCGATGTACATTAACATTTAACTTGCATAATGCAACAATCCCCCCCCCGAATTTCATTAAAATTTGTATCAAAACGCTCGTATGTTGATAACACAATACACATTACATGTATTACACCAGAGCATTGTTTCCCTAACCATAATCGGAGCTCCATTCTTCACCTTGATAAACACGATAGTAAACAGCAACTAATGAAAAGAAATGGGAACTAAATTGTTTTCTTTTTTTCTTTTTCCAAAGCATTGTATGCTACCAATTTTAGTTGAAATATATATTATGAAGTGTTGTTTTTATTTTTCGAGATACAGTAGCTCATGAAATTATTCGAACGCTTATCATCGAAAAATCTGCATATATATATAATTAAATATAAACACCAATTAATAATCATAAGTAATAGATACTTCTAAAAATTTCCTTTGTTTAAGAGTCCAACTAGAATTAGAAAAAATGTTAAAGGATCATGTTGATAAAATTTGGAACCAAGTTGAAAGTACATATATATACAAGTGACAAGATACTAATCGTAAAATTAATATACAGTATATGGAATTAATTATATAATAAATATTAAAGATACAACCATTCAATATTTCAATTATTACTATGACAGATTGTGGTTGTTTAAATATTTCTGTGTTTCCTACGAAATACTATGTATTTCTCATCATATATATTATAATCACTGATCATTGCAAATTCATTATAATTAAATCGAAGTTGATCAATAATCAAGTTAAAGTCAAATTTTATAATATATCATGTGTTCCATAACAATATAATAATTCATAGTAATTATAGTATAAACATTAAATTTCAAAACATTTTAAATTACAAAACGCACGGTGTGTTCATAAAAAAAAAAAATAGTCTCGAACATAAATATTCGAATCCTTTCGTGAGCAACTGTGTGTCTGGTGTTCTGCGAAGTGTTTTTCGATCAACTGACTTCGTCAAAAAAATGGTCCTTAAAAAGTAGTTCGTGGAACGTGAACCGAAACACTCTTTTTTCTTTCTTTCTTTCTCTCTTTCTTTTTTTTTTTCTTTTACCTCGTAGCGCTCGCCCTCGACTTTCTTCCTTTTAGTTCACGCGCGGCCAGCCGTTTCCTTCCTTTCTCGTGTAACCGTTCGCCACCGTTCTCCTTACCATTTCTGCGAAAGAAGTTTCTTCTTCCAACACTCGGAAATCGTCCCTCTTAATCGACGTTTCGTCGATCAAGTTTCACCGCGAGGACTTTTCCATCAGTTCCATCCTCGATCACGACGTTCCTCGCCTCGATCAAGCGTTTGTGGATACATCTTTCAGTGGCATTTCACCGCGATGAAGATTCTCGTTTCTTTGACGTGTCAATTTAGCGAAACGATCGTTCGCGATATTCCGTTTCAAGTTTTCAAACTGAATTTCGTTTCGATGGAAACGGGGCGACTGACGATGTCTTTTAGCGATCGAAGTTCTTACTGGTTCGATAGGTTAATTTTACTGCTCACTGTACCCGTGAGTTTAATCTAATTATTTGATTTAGTCTGATTCGGCTGAATTTTCACTCGACCCGGGACCCGAGTTAATATTTTTCAATGTCTCTGTAGATTTTAGCTGAAATATTTTCCTACTTTGCAAATTTAATTCGGTCTCACGAAGATTCTATACCGTTCGATTCGACTGCGTTCACATTTTACGAATTCTAACTCGATTCCAATTTTTCCAATTTCGATTCACCTCGTGAGCGAAGTTGCACGACTTTCGATGTTACACTCCGCAAGTATCTCTCAAGATTCAACGGTTCGTTGCGTCTACGCGTTTTGCAAGTTTCGATCGGGTTTTATTTCGAATTCGACTTACTTTCGAAGAGGGTCGGACGGAGCGGTTCGAGCGGAAAAAAATCGGCCGATCGATTTTCGCGGACCTTGAGACAACGGTGCGCGTTGCGATGCACGAAGTGCTTGGATATCACCGAGCGTGAAAGTTTGACTGGCCAGCGGTAGCTTTAATGATCAGCTGTGCTCGAGAGAGAGAGTTTTGCCTCCCACCCAAGGACTTCTTAGCTTCTTCTTCGATGGTCTCCGTTCACAAAGATGTTTGTCCTGTAAACGGGCAACAATGAGACACGCCAAACCAACCGCCAGTCACCGCGAGATCTCATGGTGTTCTCTCATTATATTCTAATAGCTGCCAACCACTTGTCCCCGATTCGCACGTTTCTCGTCTGTATTACAAACTTGCGCGAGACTTCTCAATTTTCCGTGTTCTTTTTTTTCTTTCAAAAGCCAATTTTGCCGCTTGCAAATCTCAATTTCAACTAAACTTTAAAAACAAAACTCTTTTATTCATCTCAATTTTCACAACAGTATCTACCAACTACTTGATTCAGCTACTAAAATCACTAATACTTGTAGACATTTAGCTTGTAGTTTAGTTTAGGTTTGGTCTAGAAAGGAATTCAACTTTACTTGTCGACGCAACAAGATTTCAACTGTTTTACAAACAAAAACTCTCAGCAAACATACAAAAATACTTGAAATTATCACAAAAGTCACAATTTAAATTCAAGTTTGGGTCTAGATTTCAAATTCAATTAAAGTTTAGGTTTGGTCTAGAAAGAAATTTTATCTTGTATCATATATATCATATCTCAACTTGAAAAATAAAAGTATCATCTTGTATTCATCTTGTATCAATGTTATATCAATCCTCAGGATATATAAACCAAAATATATAAAAACTACTTGATTCAACTACTAAAATCACTCATACTTGTAAACATTTAGCTTGTAGTGGGTCTGTGAAAAATTTCGTACGATAAAACTGTCACTATCCAAGTTGTTTTCTCCAAATCAGCATTTTGTTTTACGAGCATTTATCGTTAGTTCAGAAATAGCTACATTCAAGATAATAAGATTAAGTGATTCATCTTTAAATCAGACGTTGATCTTGGTAAAATTAGTACGTCACTTCGAGATCTTATGGTGTTCTCTCATTCTAATGGATTCCTAATAGTGTCCTATCTTCGATTCGCAACTAGAGATACACAAAATAATAGGAGACTGAATTTTCCTTGTCTTTCTAAAACTATTTAACCATTTAAGTTTTTTTCCCAAGATCAGCATTCTGTTTTACAAGAATTTAATTCAAAAAGTGATCAAGTGATTTATTATAAAACCAAATGTTGATCTCTGGTGTAGTGTAAAATTGTTCGTTCTGTAAATTTTGTGATCCAAGTTCTGATAAATTTTGGTCGACGTGAGCTAGGAAAACGCTGAGGCTCAGCCGTTTTTCCTTCGATCTCCACTTGCAGATGAATGTAGACCCGAGGTCTGATGCAGGCGAACGGTTTCCAGTTATTTGCCGTGCAAGTTTCCATTCACGAAAACGAATGCATTATTTTAATACGGATTAATTGAAACGAGTGACTTGCAACAACTCGATCCTTGGCTAACGAAAGCAAACGCGAAACGCGAAGCAAATTAACATAGGTACCGCTCGCATAAATTTTGACCCTCGCCCTCGTCCCTCGTTCTTCTGGCTTCATTTCCTGGTGCCAGATTGACACAATGGCGGAGAAATTAATATCTGAAATGAAAAATGAAAAGACAGATATAAAGTTATAAATTTTGCAAATTTTTTTATTGAGCAGAGCTTAAATTTCTAGTCAATTGCGTACAAGATTCACGCGTAAGTGATCTAACTTTAAGATCATTTGTTTGTCACAATTGTATCCAAGACTATAAATGCCTCCGAGAATATATCTTTGAGAGCACGTGCGTAATTAAAATTGCCTGTTCAAGGAATTTGAAAATATCATCTGCTAATATTGTCACTTTTGAAAATGTCAAAAATATACGTCAAAGAACCTGTATCTACGTGCTGCGTGAAATAGTATAATAATCTAAGACTATAAATGCCTTTGAGAGTATGTCCGTAATTAGAATTGCCTGTTCGAGGAATTTGAAAATATTGTCACGTTTGAAAATGTCAAAAATATACGTCAAAGAACCTGTATCTACGTGCTACGTTAAATAGTATAATAATCTAAGACTATAAATGCCTTCGAGAATACATCTTTGAGAGTACGTGCGTAATTAAAATTGCCTGTTCAAGGAATTTGAAAATATTATCTGCTGTTATTGTCACTTTTAAAAATGTCAAAAATATACGTCAAAGAACCTGTATCTACGTGCTACATGAAATAGTATAATAATATGACTATAAATGCCTTCGAGAGTATGTCCGTAATTAGAATATCTTGTTCGAGGAATTTGAAAATATTGTCACGTTTGAAAATGTCAGAAATATACGTCAAAGAACCTGTATCTACGTGCTGCGTGAAATAGTAAAATAATCTAAGACTATAAATGCCTTCGAGAGTATGTCCGTAATTAGAATTGCCTGTTCGAGGAATTTGAAAATATTGTCACGTTTGAAAATGTCAAAAATATACGTCAAAAAACCTGTATCTACGTGCTGCATGAAATAGTATAATAATCTAAGACTACAAGTGCCTTCGAGAATACATCTTTGAGAATACATGCGTAATTAGAATTGCCTGTTCAAGGAATTTAAAAATATTATCTGTTAATATTGTCACGTTTGAAAATGTCAAAAATATACGTCGAAGAACCCGTACCTATGTGCTGCGTGAAAGGATATAATATTCCTCAAGAGCAACGTGACGAGTTGCGGTAAGGGGCGGATGAGGATCAATAAAAATCGTACGCGTAAATCCGGTAACAGACTCGGTGGCACGTTTCACCACCGGTTGAAAAACTTTACGCCCAAATTACTTCAAAACCCTTTCGTCCAAATTAAGCTGTGTAAAATATCGCACCCTTTTACTGTCCAACGGTAGTGTTTTGTTTGCCATAAAGTAAAATATATGGGTCAGTTTTAGTGCTTGTAAACTTGCCATGTTAGTCGCCACAAAAGTTACGTCCAAAAAGTTTCGTCTAAATTTATGCTCTGAAGAGCGAAACGCGGCAGTAAATTATCGCGGTGGCAAATTTACTTCAAACCGGTCGGCCTGCACTGTAGACTCTACTGGGTAGACTCTACAGTGTAGATTCCACGCCGAGCCTAAAACTTCACACACGGGCACACGTACGCACGTATACAGACTGACAGATGTCTATCCGAGATTTCTTTCATCTCTTCGCACAGCTCGAACGCCATGAAAGACCCGTGAGCAGAAATTCTTTACAGCCCAACAGGCTCAGCCTTTGTACCCGGAGTCTTTTTGTCTCGGTCTGTTTTCGCGGTAGATGGTAGAATGAAAAGTTGGCGATGCTTACTCCACTTCGTATAACATACAGGCTATATCAATCATTGTAGAATAATTCATAAATTTATGCAATCTTTGCTGTGGTTTATCGCTCTTAACATCTGTTGGCAGGTGAATGTAAATCTGAATGTGCTACAGCTGGCTTTGAGAAGGCCAAATATTTATTTCTGATCCATTTATTTTATGTTTCAATGTATTTATGATTTATTTTATAGTATTTTGACTTATTTTATATTATTTTATTATTTTATTATTATTTTATTATTTATTTTATATTATTTCGATATTGTCATGGGTTCGAAAGTAGATAGGTTTGGGTTAGGTTTTATTTTATGTTTCAATGTATTTATGACTTATTTTATTATTTATTTTATATTATTTTATTATTATTTTATTATTTACTTTATATTATTTCAATATTGTTATGGGTTCGAAAGTAGATAGGTTTGTCGATGGGTGCCTGGATTCGATCGACTGATTGCGAACGATCAACGATAGAAGCGTGCTGTTGAATTTTATTTTTATTATTTTTGGATCTTGGAAGGATTCGAGGATTGATGGATTTTTGGTTGATTAATGAGTTGAGGTGATTTGAGATGAGAAGTTGAAAGAAGTGATACTGAAGTTTTCATTAGATTCAGGGTGATCGAAAGATTGAAGATTTGTTAATACGTTTAAGATGGAATGTAAGAATGTTTGGTTTATCTTATTGCAAGTATGAAAGAGTCAGTACTCTTGTAATTCCATTTAGTTGAATGGAAGTTCAGTTAGTGCTCGGTTAAATGAAAATTTTTGCCTATTATGTGAACACGAAAAATAATAGCAGAGGGGAGTGAGTACACCCCTGTTGTGTTATAAGAGAATGAATGCACTCTTGCTACATGAACTTCGGTTATACATAACATGGAAATTATTTATCCCTCGACAAGTTCATATAAACGTAATGCTATGTTGCTTTTGGTTTGAAACGGATGAAATTAGTGAGTGGATGTTGCAGTGAAGTTTCCAAACTGCGTAATATTGAAAGATTGACAATTTTTAATTTTGATCTTTGATCAATGTTTGAAATTATTTCTAGTAGATGGGACCAATAAAATTAGTTTCAATGTTCTGTTAGTAGAGTAATTACTTTTTTGACATTGGCTTACATGTGTGTTTGATATATCGAGAATGCTATGGCCATTAAATTGCCAAACTTTTGAACCTTTCAGTGTTTCAAATCACCAAAATTCTTCTCTAAATTTTCTTCTCGGATGCTTCAACGTAAAAAAATACGTCCTCATCAATTTTCTGGTCGCTGTTTCAGTTTCCAGAGAAATGACGTCTGTAACGACCTGCGTCATTCACAAGCGAAATGTTGATTTATCACTATGCTGCGAATTTTTAGTTTAGTATAAAGAAGAGATAACTATTGCCAGTGAAACTTTCAAACTCAATTTTCTCGGAAATGAAGGCTCAATTGAAAGAAATATTATTATATTTCCGATTGTAATATTATTAAGAGACTATAATGCTGTTTCGCAATTTAGTTGGTTGTATCACGATTTTAGAGATATGGATATTAGAAGTTATTATTATATTATTATATATATAATATTATCAAGTTATTTTATAGTATATTTAAATGTAACCCAGGCAAAACAAACGATAAATTTATTGCTTCTTAATAATTTCTATCCAGTGAT